AAGAAATGTCTGAGGTCAGAGGCTCTGTCTCCTCCCTCAGATTGGATACTCTGTAAGGACCTGGAGCACCCTGAAGGCCAGAGCCATGTCAATCCTCCCTGAGACTGGGAGCGCCCTGGGAGCAGTACTTGCACTTCCCTCATGGAGAGACTAACTCCCCAAAGGCAAAGGCAGCCTTTGAAAATCCTTGTCAGATCCCAGCCGCCTCTTGTCCTGGGAGGCTCAGGCCCAGCCTTGCTCCATAGGCACCTGTGCCTGATGGGCCCTTTCCTCTGAATCACTGCTCCCTTGGTTCTACCTCTTCTCTTTCCATGTCATCGCTTCTGTCCCCTCCTCAGCAGGTGCTCAGTCAAGCCCTGTCTTTGCCTTGCATTTTCCTTTTCTAGGCAGATTATAAATATTTACTGATGCCTTCCCTGCCCTCCCCCAGTCCCATGTCCTAATGGACATGATCCTGCAGAGGTAGCTGAATTATCTCTCTCCCAGCAACTCTGAAGTCAACCTGGTGGGGCCTTCCAAAGGTCATCCCATCCATTCCCCAGTCTCCAGGCTGGCTCATGCTAAGGCCCCTCTGAGACCATCCTACATCAGGGCATAGTGCATATGGCTGGTATTCCACAAATGCTGGAGGATGGGAGGGAGAAGGGAAGAAGAGGATTCCATAGTCTTTTCCTCCAAATCCCTCATGCTGTGCTCTCTGGCAGTTCTTCTCATCCTCTATCCTCTATCCCCCATGCTGTAGGTGAGGCCCACTTTCTCTTGGTGACACTCCAGTGGAACCAAGTCACTCTCCTCACTCTAGAAATCAGGGCAATACTTTGTCCTGCCTGGGCCAGCCCTTACCCTGAGTCTTCCCACCAAACTTGCCACCATGGCAGATGCCTGGTCTCTGATTCCCTTCTAAACACATCCTTCTTTCCTCGAACATCCCTCCATCCATTAAGATCTTCATGAACACCAGTTACACCTTGTTGATGGGAAGGGACAAACGCCCTAATCCCAAGGAAATGACTGTTTTTTGGATGGCTCAGTTATTATTGGGGAGTAACAACCACCCCAAAACTTAGTAGCTTTAAACAACACAGTGCATACATTTGCTTATGACTCGCTAAGCAAGGATGACTTCTCTCCACTTCATGTGTTGTTGGCTAGAGTGGCTCACCTGGCACTAGGGAATCCAAAGTGACCAAATTCACACGTCTGGTGCCTCAGCTTCCAGTGGCTGGAACAGCTGGGAGTTGGCTGAGCCAATCTCTCTCGCTCTCTCTCTCTCTCTCTCTCTCTCTCTCTCTCTCCCCTTCTCTGTCTCTTTCTTCCTCTATCTCTCTGTCGCTCTTCCCCAACTCTCTGTTTCTCTCTCCAGTAGAGAGTAGCGTAGCTGGACAGTTATAGCCTTGCAGCTGCCTTACGAGAGGACAAAAATGGACACTACAATGCCTCGTAAGGCCTAGACCTGAAAGTCCCAGAATATCTCTTGTGTTGCTTTTTTTTTTTTTTTTTTGAGACTGAGTCTTGTTCTGTCGCCAGGCACCAAGCTGGAGTGCAGTGGTGCGATCTTGGCTCACTGCAACCCCCGCCTCCCAGGTTCAAGCAATTCTGCCTCAGCCTCCTGAGTAGCTGGGACTACAGGCGCACGCCACCATGCCCAGCTAATTTTTGTATTTTTTTTAGTAGAGACGGGGTTTCACCATGTTGGCCAGGATGGTCTCGATCTCTTGACCTCATGATCCGCCTGCCTCGGCCTCCCAAAGTGCTAGGATTACAGGTGTGAGCCACCGTGCCCAGCCTTGTGTTGCATTTTTCTTCAAAGCAAGTCATAAAGCTGGCCCAGATTCAAATAGACTCAATTTCTTGAGGGGTGCAGCATGTGGGCATAGGGACGGGAAGAATTGTTGACAGCCATATTTGCACACTGGCTACCACAGTGATCCTAACACATGAAACTGATCCAGAATCACCAAATTTTGTATGTATCCACCCATCAGCCTTGCAGGTGTTGTGGGAGGGAGGAGAGTGGGCCAGCAGCCTCTCTAAAGGCCTTTCAGCGCTGAGCAGGATGGGCAGCTCCTTGGAGAAGGGAGAGTCTCAGGCTAGGCAGAGAAGAAGGAGCACTGTGTAGCTCCAGAGAAAACAGTGGCTAGACCATGGGGTGTGAGTCTCACAGAGAGGAGATGATCTGGGAAGGCAGGGTAGGCCCTGGGACTTGCTTAGGTCTCGAGAGATCCTTGAGAAAGGCTCCAGTGGGGTATGGAGCAGGTCTTATACAATTGGGGGAGGTGGCATTTTCCTGTCCTCCTTCCTTTCTCCATGGTCTATTTCAAGGCTGTTTCTCTCATCTAAGGCCGTGTGTTGCAATCTCCTGCGTGCTTAGGTTTCCGATCTTCCAATGACGAGCCCCAGCCCCTAGAGACATCTCTTGCTTGCCTTGCCTTGCCTTACCACACTTGGGGAAGTCTGGATTTCAGCCCTGGGTTTGGCCACCGCTACATCCTCCCCCTGTCCCACTTTTCTTCTTGCCTGTTTGTATTCAGTCTAGACGATTCATTTTTATTTGTTGATGTCCTGCCCTAGCCTGGGGCAGCTGTGGGGTGGTGAAAAGAGCACTAGATTTGGAGTCAGGAAAGCTGGTTTAAATTCTGGCTTGGCCATTTACTGGCTGTGCGTAAATTCGGGCAAGTTATTTACCTTCTCTGGGCCTCCTGCTTCTCATCTGCCAAACAATCATAATGAGCCCCATCTCCAGGGTGGCTAAGAGGAGACAGTGATGAAGAGTCCTCTGCTCTAATCCCTACCAACTGACTTTGAGCTCACTTCTCCTAGACCATCCCTGCTCAAGTCCCCACCTGCCCTACTAACCCTCCACCAACCACTCCTGGCATCTCTGTAGAAATCCTGTACTCACCTCCTTAGCTTTGGGATGAAACTCTCAGATCCAGGGCTCAGTGTCAATAATGTCAGTCATTTAATAAATGTTTATTGAGCACGTACTATGTTCCAGGCACTGTTCCAGGAGCTTGAGATACAATGAAGGAAACAGACAAAAAATCTCTTCCCTCATGGGGCTTGCATTCTAGTTGAGGGAGACAGACAAAAGGGGAGTACATTTTAAAGCTACACTGTCAGAAATGATAGCCACTAGCCATGTGTAGATGAAGCACTCGAAACGTGGCTACAACCAATTGAGACACACAGTAAGTATCAGATAAAGATGTATTTTTTTCTTTACACCCGATCTCTGCCCTTGAACAGATGCAAAGACTTAGTACCAAAAGAATATACAATGTCTCATTAATAGACTGGGTACAGTGGCTCACACCTGTAATCCCAGCACTTTTGAGAGGCCGAGGCAGGTAGATCATCAGAGTTCAGGCATTCAAGACAAGCCTGACCAATATGGTGAAACCCCAGTCTCTACTAAAAATACAAAAATTAGCCGGGCATGGTGGGGTGCATGCCTATAATCCCAGCTACTCAGGAGGCTGAAGCAGGAGAATCGCTTGAACCAGGGAGGCAGGGGTTGCAGGAAGCCGAGATCACGCCATTGCACTCCAGCCTGGGCAACAAAGCGAGACTTCATCTTGGAAAAAAAAAAAAGAAATGCACCTGCCTCCCAGGGTTGCTGTGCAGATTCAGTGTTAACCAATGTAGGGGATGGCACGTGGTCAGTGATTGCGAAAGGACCGCTTACTAGACCAAAAGCTGCCTGAAGCTGAGCCCTTGCACGTGCCCGCACTGACAGTCACCAAAGCCACTTCCCTACCCTCAGCGCGATTCCCCCTGTAACACTACAGCAGCCTCTCTGCCTCCCATACTGCTGCCAGGCACCTGTGGACAAGTGTATCTGACTGGGCCACACATGTTTAAAGCCCCTCAGCTGCCGCTCATCCCTGAGCGGCCTTAGGCCCTTGGCATGGTGCTGTAGGCTCCCCTGGCGCTAACCCCTGCCCATGTCTCCAGCTTCCACCCCCCGACCCACTCCCTGCCTGAGTGCCACCTTCATGCCTTGCTCACACTATCCTTTCTGCCTAGGATGCCCTCAACCCTTTCACCTCCCTCCCCTTCTGTCCTCCCTACCTTCAAACCATCCTCTAGGCAGCCTAGAGATAATGTCATGAGAAGACACCACCCCCAACACAACTCCCACCCCCAAGCTGGATCAGATGCCCCCAGCACATTTTATTTCTTTTTCTGCTCACAGATTTATAGTTTTTTGTCTCCTCACTCACTCACCCTCACCAGATCCTTGAGGGGTGGAACTGCATCTTATTCATAGCAGCATAATGGCTGGCTCAATATTTATTCAAGCCATATTTATGGTTTACAAAAACAAATGAGAGGCTAGAGGAAGTAAATTTGGAAGCACTGCTCTTCAGTGCCAAAGACCTGGACAGGTGCCACCTTACCCAGGAGCAGGACATGAGCGAAGAGCTTATGCAGCAAGGTGGGGCAAGGAGTCCCATCAGTGGTGACCAGAATTATTGGTCTATCTTCCAGAGGATCAAGGAGCTCCAGGGTGTAACTATGTAAAATTAAGTTACACCCTGGGGTCACAGCCCTCCAGCAGCATCCCCTGCTCACTCCCAGCCAGTCGCAGCCAACAAGACCCCCACAGCAGTACAGAGCTCTCTCCTGTCTCCTGGGCAGCAAGCTTGGAGACATGGCCAGTTCCTTCCTCGGCCAAGGCACAGAGGCCTGGATCACCTAATTCCTGAAGGCAGCACTACCTATTGCAAGGGTCCTTGGTTCCTGTCTGATGAGCTGTTTCTCCCGCTCCACCCATTCCCAGAGTGTCCCACCTTCTCTATCAAGACAGGATGGATGGGTTCCCCCAGGACCAGCTCAGCCAAAATGGAAGGACTTCGTCCCCAGCACAAGGCCTACACATTAGACACAACTTTCCCAGACCCAAGAAAAATGCCATGTTCCCCAAAGGAAGAGGGAAACGGGTGGGAGGAAGTCTAGAGCAAGGATTCCATGGAGAAGGAGAAACCAAGAGGAGCTTTGAGATCAGAATTAAATTCTTTAATACAAAATGCTTTTTTTTTAAGATATATCTGTATTTCTTTGTCGTTGTTTAAAAATAAATATGTACTACGGAATATCTCGAAAAACTGCACTAGAGACAAAGACGTGATGTTAATATCTTTTCCCCACAATTACGGATAAACAGTAGCACCAATAAATAAATGATAACAAATATTAAAATTAAAAAAGGAGAGAGATTTAGTATGTAGAATTCTCTATTTTTTCTTGTTTTGTTTTTACATATAAAAAACAGAATAGCAATGTCTATTTTATCAGAATCACATATATACATAAACATATATATATATATACACACAAATACAAGTTGCCAAATATATATATAGTATGTAGATGTATATTGAAACCTTATTTCAAAGGAATGTGTGCTGGGGAGCCAGGGGAAAGGGGAGGGCAGAGCTGAGTGTTAGCAAAATTAAATATGTGTTCAAGATAAGCTAGTGACTGTCACCGATCAGGGAGAGAGAGACTGGAAACATGAATTTTATATACAAAAACCAGTACAAATAAGAGAGCGAGAGAGAGCAAAAGATACATCTCATAAATAGTTGAAATTAAATATTAACCAGGAATACTGAAAAAAACCCTACTCTTTAATTAAATTAACTGTTTTAATTTCTAATTAAAAAGGGATATTAAATAAGTACCGTATACAAAACACTTTTTTTCTCTGCCTCCACAATGGGCACGTGGATCCTGCCCTGCCTCTCTGTGCCTCGGGAAGGGAAGGACCAGGGGATGGAGGAGGGTCAACCACTCACACATACACAACCAGGCCTCCTGGGGGGACAGAACTAGTGGTTTCAATGGTGTGAGGACATCAGGTCCTTTTAGGCTGCACCCCAGGAAGGGGAGCAGGAAGAGGATGAGGGTGGGTCCCAGGAGGAGGAGCTGTCATGGGCTGCTGCTTCCAACACGTGTCTCTTCTCTCTTCGCTGGGACATCTGTCAGTGGCCTCCTGGGAGCAGGTGAGAGTAAGTGAACGCCGCCCAGGCTCCTGAATCTTCCAGGCAATGCCCCTGGGGGTGAGATTCGCATGCAGCATGTGGAGGGAATCCCCAAAGCACAGCAATGTCCTGAAGCTCCCCAAACTCCCAGTCAGAGCCAGTGTGCTCATCCCTGTACCTGTCATCTGCCTTTCTGTCCGTCTGACCCAGGGCAGAGGCTCAGCACCAGGGCTGGGTTTGTCGGTGTTCCTGAACGTGGGTCATATGTGCCCCCATGCCCTGGCCTTGCACATTCCTGGGCAAGGGAGAGGACCCTGGCCCGGCCAAGTGGGACAAAGAAAAAGATCATGCCGGAGTCTCTCGTCTCATCCTCTTCCCTGTCAGGATCTGAGTGGGAACGTTCCCCTCCCAACTCAAGTCCACAGCAGTCAAATACATCCAGTGAAGACACCAATAACATTAGCACTGTTAATTTAAAAAAAGAATATATATATTTTATATATATAAAATATAGATATTTATTTTTATATATATATAATATATATATGTATATATGTGTGTGTATATATATATATATATATATATACATATATATATATATATATATATATATATATATATATATAAAAACGTATGTATGTGGGTGGGTGTGTCTACAGGAATCCCAGAAATAAAACTCTCTAATCTTCCGGGCTCGGTGATTTAGCAGCAAGAAAAATAAAATGGCGAATCCAATTCCAAGAGGGACCGTGCTTGGTCACCCGCCCGGGAATGCTTCTGCCGGAGTCTCGCCCTCCGGACCCAAAGTGCTCTGCGCAGTCTCCTCTTCCTTCATTTCAGGTTTCTGGATTAAGGACTGTTCTGTCGATGGTGATGGTGTGGTGGTGGCGGCAGCGTGCTTTCTGTATCCATCATTCTGTGTCAGTCTTTCCTGGTGAGAGATCTGGTTCCCGAAACCCTGAGGGAGGCTCCTTCCTCCTGCCCGGCTCACCGCCTCGGCTTGTCACATCTGAGGGGAATGGAAAACGAAGGCTGGAGTTAGGGCCAAGTGAGGGGGCCTGGCGACGAGGCAGGTGACCTCCCCATTCCTGGGGGCCCCTGGGTCGCTGCAGCTTCCGGCAACCTTAAGAGCCCAGAGGATGGGAAGGTATGGTCCTGGGACAAAAAGCCCCAGTGTGAAAGCAGCCCCAGCCCCGCCCTCAGGGAGCCCCCAGTCTGAGCAGCAGCTCATTCAGGGGCTCCCAGTCTGCCCTCTGGAGCTCGCAATTGACTGAGACAACACAAGGACATGGGAACACTTTACAGAGCAACAAATGACGGATACCGAAGAACAGTCCCCACTTGACATTTTAAGAGCCAAGGGGTGACCAGAGCTAGATGAAGTTAATCAGAAGAGGCTCCCTGCTGAGGAGGGTTTTTCAGTTTGGTCTCTGGGGGCTGGTATGGGGAAGAGAGTGGGCAGAGCATCAGGGATATCGCCTGAGGCAGACAGGCTTGGCTGGGTGGCCAGCGACAGCAAAGGCCTGCCCTGGGGATGGGAGGCTCCCGAAGGGGTAGCGTAGAGCAGGAGGCCCCAGGAAGGTGAAGGAACATCTCCATTCCCCGTGTCCCCTCCCAGCGTGACTGTGGGCCTCATCTCTATTGAGCTGGCTAGAGGCTGCAGTCCCAGGTGCCCAGCTCTTCCCTTGCCAACATGCTGCTTCACTTAGGATGGGGAGAGACAGTTCTGCGGCTTCGCGACTCCTGCTGAAGCAAAGGGGGCCTCCCAGAACTTTCTCAGCCTGCTCCTGCCCCTGGGCTGACCGTGAGGAGGAGGCAGAGCAGGCCCTACCCTTCTGGGAGCCCAGAAATGGGAGTCCTAAGCCTCCAATTTTGGAAACTGATATTCACAGATCCAGCCAGCCTGGGGGTTGCGTAAAGAATTAGGAGGTTAGGGTAACTTCAGTTAGCTCCAGGTCACTTCACACACACACCCATCTGCAGGATCATCACCAAAAAAAGTCCTAAAATGTCAAGTCCCTAATCTTCCCCAAGGACCCCTGGGGAACTGAGAGCCCTTCATCTAGACCTGAAGTTAGGCAGAGCCCCCACCCCCAGCACTAATATACACCTCTCGGTTTTACATAGGGCTAAGACAGACAGAATCCCGTACCAACTACCCAGGCCTGGTTCCCAGCATCCCTGAGCACCCGCAAGCCTCAAGAACACTGGTGGGGAAGGGGAGACTTCCCTAACACAGCCTCGGGGTGTGCTGAGGGTGCCTCGGCCCTGTCTGGGGAACCCTCATAAAAGTCCTGCCTCCCTAAGTGAAGTTTACCCTCACTCTCCAGGGCCTCCCTCACTGACACAGGCAAACTGGTATAAAGAACACAGGCTAAGGCATAAAAAGACTGCCAGCCACGGTCCCGGCCCTGCGCTCCTGGCCTCGCCTCCCTGAACTGAGGCATGCATTTATTCATTGGATACTTCCCTGGTCCTCAGCAGGGACAAGGGACAGAGGTATAGATGCCTGGGGCTCACAAAGGTAACTAAACCAGGCCCAGGCTTATGGATTTTACAGTCTAATGTCAGGAGAATGGGCACAGAACCCTCCCTCCACGCATCCTAGGGGCACTTGAAAAGGTGTGGGCTGCTTGGGGTTGTCACCATGACTGGTGGAGGATTAAAGTTATCAAATGCTACAGCTCCTTCAGTGTGTAGGCAAAACTGCCCCGTCCTAAACCAACAGCCAGAGCCCTTGCCCTCAGACAGCCCTAGTCTGAGGGTGGAGACATAGGCCTGGCCTCAGGGAGCCCCAGGCTGAGGGGGGAGACATAGCCCTGGCCTCAGGGAGCCCCAGTCTGAGGAGGGAGACATGGCCCTATCCTCAGGGAGCCCCAGTCTGAGGGGGGAGACATGGTCCTATCCTCAGGGAGCCCCAGTCTGAGGGGGGAGACATAGCCCTGGCCTCAGGGAGCCCCAGTCTGAGGAGGGAGACATGGCCCTATCCTCAGGGAGCCCCAGTCTGAGGGGGGAGACATGGCCCTATCCTCAGGGAACCCCAGTCCGAGGGGTTAGACATGGCCCTATCCTCAGGGAACCTCAGTCTGAGGGGGGAGACATGGCCCTATCCTGAGGGAACCTCAGTCTGAGGGGGGAGACCTATGCTCAGGGAGCCCCAGTCTGAGGGGGGGAGACATGGCCCTATGGTCAGGGAGCCCCGGTCTGAGGGGGGAGACATGGCCCTATGTTCGGGGAGTCCCAGTCTGAGGGGGGAGACATGGCCCAATCCTCAGGGAACCCCAGTCTGCAGGGAGAGACCTATCCCTGTCCTCAGGGAGCCCCAGTCCAAAGGGGGAGACACAACCCTTTCCTCAGGGAGGCCCAGTCTGAAGTGGGAGACTCGGTCCCTTCCCCCATCAAGAAACACTGAGTGAGTGAGAAGCTCAGCCATGCAGACTTCAAAGGGCCGCGGCCAGGCCCTGGAGAGAGCCGTGAGAGCAGACCAGGCCCCGTGAGCACGGTGACAGCATCTGTGCTTTGTTGACATTGTCCACACCTGGAATCGGCTTTCAGCTTCTCAGCATTAGTACCAGAGTAGTAATAACATCAGGACCAACAGCCACTATGAGCAGAAGGACCACAGGACACAACACACAGCTTGCGTCCACACCACCACACTAAGCCACACCAGCCTACCACTCAGGCAACCAGGCCTCAGAACAGGCCCCGCCAGGCCGGATCAGCGCCTGCAGCCCACCTCGGGGCCTTAAAAGCAGAGAAGGCAGCAGTCATCAGGCAGGCAGCTAGAAACTGAGCAAGCAGCTGGCCCCTCTCAGGCGCTCTCTCGCTCGCTCGCTCGCTCTCTTTCTCTCTCTCTCTCTCTCTCTCTCTCTCTCCCCATCTCTGTGTGATGCCCCTCTCTGACTTGCTCGCCCTCTGGGAACCAACCTGCAAGTACGTTCGTTTAACTCAAGCTGCCTCGCCTTGCAACGCGAGTCTGTGTTTTTGCAGGAACATTTACACGTCTGTGGATCTTGTACAAACAAATGCTTTCTCCGCTCTGAGCAAGGCCCACAGGGACTGCAAAAAGGCAAAAGGAAAGACATCTAAGCTAGAGCATCAGCAGAGAGAGAGAAAAAAAATCACCATGCAACACCCCCTAACAGGTCCACAGCTGCACCCCCACCCGGCTGGTCAGCCCCCACGCCCTTCCACGCCCTGGAAGGATCTGAGCACTACAGCAGAAGACAGAGAGAGCAGCAGAAAGAGGCAGCACTGGCTAGGACACCTGCCACAGGAAGAGGCGGGCACAGGCGGGCAGAGAGTGCAGGGAGAGACTGCCATGAGGGGCAATGCTGTGTCCCTGGGCGACAAGAGTGAGTCTCAGGCCACAGGGACCCAACCGCTGCCACCCCCATCCGAGCACGCCTTGACTCTTCACCGGCTGGGGATGGCAATCAAGGGCCACTGAGATGGCAGGGGCCACCTTCTCCCTGTGCCCTGGCTCATGCCCAGGCCCCTCCACTGAGGTGGGCTAATGTAGGGTGTGATGGGAGGCTAAGCCCACAGGCAGTGTCCACAGGCCAGGCCGCTGGTGGCCAGAGGGCCAGGGCAGGGCCCACCATAGCCTCCAACCCAGAGGAAGAGATCGCCCTACAGGGAGCCCTCTGCAGGTGCCATGGGTTGGACTGGAATAGGGGGCTCCCCTCCAGAGGCCCCAACTTCATGAGGAGCCAGGGCACTTCCACTAGAGGAAGAGAGGCCGCCACATGGTGTGTGATCCCACCCAAGCTCCTCCTTCAGCCGAGGAGTCATCCGACAAGCCACCTCGGGTCACTCACGGCCCTTCTTGGGCCACGTCTGCCCTCCCCACCACCCTCAGCTTCCAGACGAGTGCAGAAGCCTAGAGCAATGGAAACCAGTTGGGTGAGCAGGCACCCGTGCCAACATGGGCCCGCCACCAGTGCCCAGTGGGTGAGAGAAAATGGGTGCCCAGCCAAGCCAGAGTCCCCGCCCTCAATCCTCCAGACCTGCTCGCCCCCCCTATTCACCCAACCCTGGACCAGCAACGCCACCACCAAATCTACCCGTTGGTGCCAATTAGTGGAGTGAGAGTGAGAACGAGACAAGGGCCAGGGGGATGAGCATCAGGGAGGGACCAGGGGAGGGAGGCAGGGTTACAGGGTACAGCAGGCGGGAGCGGGACCGGGGGCCAGGGAGGCTCCAGGGAATGAGACAGCAGCGGGCACCAACGTACACGCTCCAGGACTTATACCGGGGTTTCTTGCGCTTGCGTTTTTGCCCCTTTCCCTTTCCTGGAACTGATTTTCTGGAAAATAAAAAAACAGAGACAGAGAGAGAGCAGGGGCGGTGGGGGTGGGGGGTGGGTAGAGTAAAAGAAGCAGTGAGGAGGGCAGGGATGGGGGAAGGACCAAAGCAAAGCTACCCAGGGAGGCTTCCTGGAGGAAGTGTCAGGAGGCAGGTGGTCTCTGGGAAGGCGTGTACGGCACACACACGTGTGTCTGGGCAGCCAGC